GGGGGGGGGGAGGGAGGTAGGGAGAAGGGAAGTGGATCCTGGTTTCCTCTCGTCGCACTGCAGAGCTCACACTTTCTCTTTGTTTTTATATAAAATGGTTTTCTCTTCGCATCGTTCCCGTTTTTCTGACTTTGCCTCCCTGTCAAGTTTTATGATTTTCTTTTGTTAATATTTTCAGACCAATACGAAATGTGATGATTTCTACAGAACTGTGGGGGTTTCTGTAACTTTCTCCCCCGCCCCCACCCCCAGACCCGCTCCTACAACGCACCCTTTTCTGTCTGTGTCTCTCTGTCAGAATGTGTGCGTGAGAGAGGGGGAAGAGAGAGAGCATATGTGTGTCTGAGTGAGAGAGAGAGCGAGGGCCTTGCTGCCTGTGAGCATGACTCAGAGCTTCAGGTTCATTCCCACGTCCCCCGTTCTCTGGGGGTGCTGGAATGTGTCTGTGTGCCAGGGACGGGCAGTGTCTGATTTTCCCCAGGGTCAGTCACTGTCCATCCCGGGGAGCGGGGGAGGAATTTGAAGATATATTGTGTCGTTTCCTTTTTTTTGTAAGAGTAGCCGAGTGTTTTTTTTTTGTAATAACTGGTCGGTCCGAGCCCCGCACAGGGAGAGGGCGAGGGTGGGGTGTGGAGAGACAGAGGGGCCACTGCAACCCTCCCTTCCCTGGTGGGAGGGGGGGGGGGGTTCCCAATGTGCCCCCTTTTCTGGTTTATCATTCCATACAAGCCCCTTCCCCCTCACTCTCCCGACCACTGCCGTTTGACTCGAGGTGACATTTCTTTCTCATTAAAGTACAATTTATATAAAACCAGCCGCACTCTCTCTCTCTGTGTGTCCCATCCGTGCTTCAGAACCAGGAAGAGACCGTTACCCCCCCACCATCATAAATAGGAAGCTCCCTGCAACATTCAGAGATGCCGCTTGCTCAGTGATGGAGCAAGGTGTCCATGTACAGCAGCGTGTGCCCTGCCACACAGCCTCACACTGGGGGCTCAGAGCACCCTGCCGTGAGATCAGCTCCCTCCTGTTCCTGTGTAACAGGCTGGAGGCGGGGGGGAGGTGAACTGGGGAAAGGCAGGATGTTGGGCTGATGCAGTAGCTGTGCTAAAGGGCTGGCATAGCCCTGATGGGCAGAGCAGCCACCGAACAAAGTCCACAGTGAGGATCTCCCCTACCACCCACCCCTGACCAGAAGAATTTCTCAGGCGGTCGCACACCTCAGCTGTTTCACACTCTCGGAGCGTGTTTTTATTGTTAAAACGTTGCAAGAGACACAAGGGAAAGTGGAGCGGGGTGGGGAGCAGCAGCGGAGCCGTGCCTCATCCCAGGGTGGATTTCCTGCTGGAACTGGGCGCAGCGAACCCTCTGGACTCTGGGACACGCCCAAACTCGGCGCCAATGGAGCGGAGCACCACGGCTCCTTCCACGGTCACAGCCAGCTTCCCGATCTTCACCCCATCTCGCCCGGCTTCCAAAACTGAGGGACAGCAAGAAACATCACGTTAAACTGGGCCAGAGACTGGGGAGAGAGTACTGCCACCCCATCACGGGGTGGTTTATATACAGAATAACAGATACCCCCCGGGGAGGGAGTTACAGACTGGAATCTGATCG